CTCACATATTCACACCTGTTAGTTTGGGGTTTAATCCTCCCTTGCAATGAACACCACTTACATTTATAAGTTTAATTTTCTACTCCTTAAGTGCTCTGTTCCTGCAATGTCCTGTGTGGAAATGATGCAGAGTGTCAGGAGCCTTGCTCCAAAAACTTGCCATGATAGTCACCTGGGAGTGATGAGTCTGCTCAGTTGGCTTGAGCATTATGGCTCAGGAGTTCCAAATCAACTGAGATAAAGGTTTTTAGAGATGTTTTATTGTGTGCTTTACCTGATAGTCAAAGTGTCTTGAAGGCAAGGAGAAGAGTTCCATCAAGTGGCAGCATGACACCTTGTTGTCAGGATATAACATCTGGTACTGAGGCCTGCTGAGGATGATGGGAATTCGACACCAGCCGGCACCTGGAGAGGATACTCAGAGCCTTGCAGGAACACAATGTCTTTAGTACGTCCCCCTCTCTTGTCCTTCTTTTTCTTTCCACTACTGGAGCTTTTCCATAAGGGGTTTTGCCACAGCATTCAGCCATTCCTCTGGTGCTGAGACAGTATTATGGGCAGGGTTTAATGAAGGGAGCAGCTGCAGGCACTGGAAGGGAAGAATCTTGAGTTTCTTGAGGGAAGAATTCCCACACCATTATGAGGACAGAGCTCAAGGGCATTTGCAAGGGGAGTGAAGGAGAGACTGGGCAACAGCCAGGGATAGCAGCCCTGGCCTGAGCTTGGGCTCAAGAGTGCCTTCCCTCCCACAACACTCCCTTCCCACCTATCATCAACATTTTCTCTTCCTGCTGTTGTGCTCTGGCATACTGAAATTTACTTGACTGCAAAAGTTTGTTTCCTGACACCACCAAAAAGCAGCAAATAAATGAAATGTTGATTTTTGCAACACCTTTCCTTATACAGCAGGGCACACCATAAATTGTGGCCTTTTTCACACAGTCCTATTGCTCCTTTGCATGAGCCAGCTAGAATGGACCAGAGCATCATGAAAAACGTGATATCCCAACTCCTTGGAAATGTGTTACCATCTCTTCCTTTGTTAATAAACATCCTCCTCATCAAACTCCTCAGCACAACTGAAGTAGCAAAATGGGCAATCTACATAATTTAAAACCCAGCTGCCTAAAACCATACTGTCGGTCTGCCTGACCTCAGTGCTGGATGCCCCTCTTGGGTGCTTGTACAACAGGAGCAATACCCCAGGACCCTTGCTACTTCTTTCAGAGGTTTTCAAACACAATCCAAGACGTAGTATTTAAGGACCTGGGTGGCTTCATCTAGGGAAGACATGATAGCCACTTTCAAGTATGTAAGAGACTGCAGTGAGGAAAGGATTTATCTTTCTCTCAATCCGCTGGGATAAGGACTAAGACCTTAGACTGCTGCAAGGGAATGCCACATTATGCATAAAATGAATAAGAAGAAATTCTGAATTAATAAGAAGTAGCTGAATGGAATAGCTGGAGGTGGTGGAGAATCTCCATCACCTGAGATCTTCAGGACTTTATTAGACTTTTGTCCGCAAACGACAGGTAAACTTGAAACAAGGGTATGGAAAACTAGGAAAGATGGTTGAGTTGGCCTCTGAAGGCCATTTCTTACTATGAGTAGAAGCTTGGCATTAGATTTGTTTTCTGTTTGGAAGATCAGATCCTGACAACCTATGTAGTGTAACCCAGAACTGAATGAGGAAAGGCCTGAGCACCCTTTTGCTCTCAGTCTCCTCCACCTAGGCAGATTTGAAGCTGGTCAGCATAAAGGCATACAGCTCAACCATGCTATATTTATTTTGTTGCTAAACTGAAGACATTGGGCTGCCCTGTTACTTTTCCTGGCCATTCAGCTTTACCTAATCCAACAGGAGACCTCTCCAAACATTGTGGGTGCTCAAATTTTGAAGGCTAACTACCCAGAAAAAGAAAAATCAAACCAAACCAGAAACAACTTCGTAAAATTTGTAGTTAAGTGATAATGTAAATCAAATGGCACCTGGTTTACCACAGAGAGAATTCATTTCTTTAAAAATGTCACAACAAATAGCAGAGGTTAAATTACTCATTCCAGAGAAAAATCACCATCAGACTGTATCTCAAACAATAAACTAATGGTGCGGGCTAAGGCAATGCACATTTTGAGATGGAAGAAATTATACTTAATTTGGGATGCAATTTAAAGTGAAACCTTCAAAGATGTTGGGCAGGCTGTATCTGAGCATGGCATCAACTGGAACAGTATTTTATTCTGTCTGAAATCTCTGAGCACAAAGAATTAGAAGATCTGGGGACAAAACTATGAAAACTGTCATCTGCCAGTCATTATCAAATGTAGCCCTGATGATTGAATGGGAGGACAGAATCACCAGCTGGCTGACAACTGGGTAGATTCTGCAGTGGTTTCCCACCCTGCTTGCTAAAGGGACATATTGGGAAAGAGCCCATACTAAGGAAAGTCCCTGCACACATTTGGCCATCAGGGAAGAGCGAAGTAGTGACACTCAGAATCACCAAGGCTGGAGTGAGAGAGAGACTGGCTGTGGTATGCTGTGCTAATTTCTGGAGAACATCTGCACAGTAGGTAATGAGAACAATAAACTGCTCTCACATGTCTTTTGTATGCCCAGCTGCCAAGTTCTTCCAGACAAAGGCAGATAGCATAATCCTTGCCATACTCAAAAGACAAGAAAATTTTGACACATGAGTGAAGTGATTTTACTTATGGTTGAAAAGCAGAATGGGGAGATACTCCACCTCTTGGGTCACAACCAGACTCAGAGAGAAAAAAGGGAGAAAATATTTCTGAGTGTAACACGCTCAAGTTGTCTCACGATGTTGATTTTACAGCAGGAGAAAACGCAATTCATGCAGTACATGTTGTTACTTTTTAATACTTGCTCCAAATTAACTACTGTTCCCATTTTTTACTTACTTCCTGTGCTAATCTCCTTATTTACCCATCTCTCTCTTATATACACATGCATATACATAGGCAAATTCATCCCCAGTCAACTTCATCCTGCAAACAGCTCATAATATCACAACAGCATTGAAAGAGGATATTTTGCTATATTGTAAAATATGAATCCACTATTTTGACAGTGACAAATCATAAGCATCAATGTGCAGGAGCATTTTAATGAGAATGTGGGGTATAATCTGTCTCACCAATCTTCCATTCCAGTGGAAACCAGATTTCCCCTTCCCCTTCCTCCCCCCACTTTGGCTACAGCTTTTGATGTTCCCTATGCAGGCAGGCTTAATGTCTTTCATGAGATGCAGTCCCCTCAGCTGAGAGTCTTTCATGACATGAAAAGATTTCTCTGTAATTTTCTTTTTTTTATTATTATTTTGATGTGAGCTGTTAAAATATGAAGAAAACACTGTCTGATTATTTAAAGATAAAATGTAGACTAGGTCATGTATCTCTATTGCAAGGCTCAGTCTACTTTAAATTGATGAGTTGAGGGAATATTGGAGGATTTTTATTCTCAGTAGTCGTGACAGAAGAATGAGGGAGGTGGGAGTGAAACCTAGATCCACTCTGAGCAGCTTCCCCTTCAGTTCTGCCAGAGGTGTCTCTTAGCTGTTTGTCACTGCAGATCCAGTGCCTACAGGCTCGGTTTGCATTTGCTTGTGTTATTACCACTGCTTTTCTCAGAAATGTTGAACCAGGAAAGTTACCTGGGAGAATTATTTCTAATAAAGAACCCTTTAACACTTGGTTGCTGCCATCACCTTCCATGCTAGTACACGTGCAGGAGACAAGCACAGCCGCTCTCTCCTTCAGTCCTCTCTCCCTAGAAACTGAGACATGAAACACACTTTCATTTTGCTTTGAACCTTCAGGCAAAGGGAGAGTCTCTTGTGGAGTTGCAGAGTCTGTGCTGAGGGGCTGGCCAGTAAACCTAGGACCTAAGATTATGTAAAATGCATTTTTCTTTGACTTTTCGCCAGTGCAGAGTTTGACTGTCACCAGGGACACAGCTGCAGCCCATCAGCCCTCTTCTCTCCCCTTCTCCTGTCAAGGGTGGCTCATCTGTGGAGGGAGACAGGGATGCTATTCATGAGAGCTGGGAGGGTGCAGCACGTAGGTGTGTAGGAGAAGGAGAGGCCATGCACAGAGCCTGTATAGACAGTACAAGAAGAGCGTGGGTGGGCAGAGGGGGGTGAGGGCGTGTAGCTGTCATACAGCAAAATATGTGTCTGCAAAACTTCTACCAGCACCAGGCTACTGCTACTGCCCAGGCACCACCTGCCCAGACTTTCCTGCTTGTGTTAAGGGAGGCTTTGAACCTGCAGCGACTCCCCCCAACATTTCCCCTTGCCTCCTATGCTGGTTGAACAAGGGCAGCTTTGGGGAGGCACGGGGACACACAGAAAACTCACCTTGCCTCCCTCATCCATAGTGTGGGAAGGAATGGTGTTTTGAGGGCTGGAGCAGCAGAATGCTTCTTCCCACCCTTCTGCTCTCCCCGTGGGAATTGTCAGGACCTCAGCGGCCCAAGAACACCTTTCTCTTCTCCTGAGCCGGGTTGTGGGAGGTGGACGGAGCTGCAGCAGGTGAGGGTGGTGCTGAAGGGACAGCTACAGTGGAGACGGGCCGGGGCGGGGGCAGGAGCACGGGGAGGGTCGGAAAGGGAGACGACCGGACAGGAGGCGGGAGGGAGATACGGAGAGGGAGGGAGAAGAAGTCCGGAGTTGAAAAGCACAGGGACAAGGACAGGGAAAGACACGAGGCATTGGACGGAGAGAGACAGACACAGAGCAGGGGCAGAGGGACAGGAAAAGAGCAGGAAGGGAGAGGAAGAGAGAGAGGAAGAGCAGGGCAGACTCCAGGCTGCACTCGGGCTCGGCTACCGTGAGGATCTCGGCATGGCCGGCTGAAATAGCGGCTCCGCCCGCGCCAGACCCGCCGGTACCGGGCGGCACCCGCCGCGCCTGGGGACAAGGGGACTGCAAGGTGGCAGCGTGCAGCCCGCAGCGCCGCGGGGCCGAGGCGGCTCCGGGGCCGCCGGGCTCTGCAGACACCGGCGCTGGGCTCCTTGAGGCTGCCGGCGCGGTGTGCTCGGGGTGCCGGGGCACCCACACCGCCACCCGGCTCGCTGCCCGCCGCGTGTACCCCCCGGGCTCTCCCGAGCCCGAACGATGCGGGCTGAGCCCGGGGCCGGGGCTGACCGCCGGTCCGGCGGGGTCCGTCCTGCCCGGCCACAGCTGCGGCTGCAGCTGCGGGGCTGCCCCGGCTCGGAGCCGGGCGCCGCAGGTTGCATCCGGACAGCACTTGACCAGCTGTTTTGTGTATTTTCTAATTTCGTGCAGAACAGGGCAGCGGTCATTGAGGTAATCTGTAGATCCGTGGCTTTAAGGGATAAATTAGAGCATTGGATTTGATCCGTATTGCAGTGGATTAGAGCAACCTCTCCCCCCTCCCCTTCTCCTCCTCCCACCCCTCCTTTCCAGTTCACTCCCCCCTCCTCCAGCACCACCTTTTTTCCTCTCATGCAATACCAAAACTGACCCTGCCTGGCAGAGAGACTGCTAGGCGAACGGAGCAGTGCTCGCATCACCAGCACACCGCGGGAGCCGCCTCTCCCCTTCCAGCCGCTGCAGCCCCTCCGGGGCACCGCTGCTGCGAGTTCCCGGGAGGTTGGCGCCGGGGCTGAGGTGTCTCCTCCGGGAACCGGGGAGCGGTCGCTGCCCACGGGCTGTCCCTTTGCTTCGGCCCGGCAGGGGCCGTGGGGCGGCGGCGAGGGAGAGCGGCCCCCGGAGGGCATTTCCCGAAGGCAGCGGGGCCGGGACCCGGCAGGAAATGGAAGGATGAAGTGTGCAGCCGGAGCGGTGATGTTCCTTCTCTCCTTGATTTCCCCCGCAGGAACGTAATCCGCAATGCTAGTTCTCAGGTTGCTCAATGTTGTCGCTCCAGCCTACTTCTTGTGCATCTCCCTAGTGACCTTCGTCCTCCAGATCTTTGTCTTCATCCCCAGCATGTTCAGAGACCCTTCCACCACCTCACTTTTCTCGCCTGCTCTGCTGCATGGGGCCCTCTTCCTCTTCCTCTCAGCTAATGCCCTGGGCAACTACGTCCTTGTGATCCAGAACTCCCCTGAGGACTTGGGCAAGGACTTAAACTTGGGCAAAGGAGCCGAAGTGGCAGACTGGCTGGATGGAAGCAGGTCCCCTGGCTCAGCCTTGCCCGGCACTCACTTCTGTAGACTGTGTGCCAGAGTCACCCAGAGGCATGACCACCACTGTTTCTTCACAGGGAACTGCATTGGGAGCAGGAACATGCGAAACTTCATCATGTTCTGCCTCTACACCTCCCTGGCTTGCCTTCACTCCCTGGTGGCAGGCATGGCTTATATTTCTGCTACACTCTCCATGTCCTTTGTGGACCCACTGGCCTTCCTCACTCTTCTGCCTCACTCCATCAGCCAGTTCTTCTCAGGTAAGGACTCTTTGCTCAAAGATGAGGAGCGTGTTCCTCCTCCAGGGCTCCTGGGATGGGGGGACCTGATCTTCCTTGGATAGCCATCTGTGTGGAGGTGTGTTATGGAAATGGGCAAGAGAGGCAATTGACCTTCTTTGGAGGCTACAGCCGGCCTTTCCAAAATACTTTGCTTCACCTGAAATAGAAGCTGGGACTCGCTGCAGGTTACATCCATAGTTGTTAGGCTCTGGAAAATGCCCCATAACCAACTTGATGGTGTTGGAATAGAGCTATCTGTTGTGCAGGACATGTGTTGTAGTTAGATAGAGGAGATAGATTTCACTGCAAGTATGAGGGATCATTTGCCTGCCCTACAGGTAGAGGTGGGGGTGTCCCGTAGGCTTTTGTACCCTACAAATCTGCAGGTTCCCCATATCCCAGCAGGCACATATTATCCAGGTCCACTCACTCCCTTCACTGTCACCCACCTCCTGCCTCCGGGCAGTGAAACTTACTGAGATCTTTTCATCCTTCCAGCACAGGAGAATTGGGATTCAGGCAATAACAGAAACCGAGAGAGGAGTTAATGTGACATGATTAGCTACCTGTCTTGTGACCCTAGTCTGGGACATAAGTCCACAGAGAACCATGGGAAAATCTCTGGGCTGCTCTTTGCAAAAGCTCCACACCAAAAGCAAATATGTCCTTCTCCTTGCTTCCATTCCTTACCCTTCTTTCTACTTCTTCCCCTTTCCCCTCTCTCTGCCTTTCTGTAAATCTCCACAACCCTTCTCCTTCTCTCTCCTGATTTTGTTCCCATAACTCATCCTCTGCTCTTGCAGAGCAAGAAGTCTTGCCTCTTCACCTTTCAACACACCCTCAAACTCTCCAACCTCAACCCTTTCTCTGTCCAACCCCAAGAGTTAGATCCTGACCTCAGAGAAGGGATTATGCAGACAGCCTAGACTGCTACTCTACCCTGAGAGCGACTGCCTAAAATTGCCATCTCCCCCCTATGCAGCTCCTGCTTCATACACTTACATCAGCTTTTACTAGACTAAAATAGGTATCCCATATATTTTAGCTTTGCAGGTTCAGCTGAGCTCAGTAAGAAGGGAGTCTGTTTTGGCTTGTGCACTGTCACCAGAAGTGTTGATTAAGATCTGAGTGAGGAGACTCCACTGCTGGGAATACAGGAGCCAGAGAGGAGGCCCTAGCTTGCTTTTCAGATTCCAGGCTGGGTTGCCATCTGAAAACAAACAAATATCTCCCTACTTGGCAAATTTTCTGATTTGTCATGGTAATCACTGAAAGACAATAAACATGAAATCCTGCCATGACATTTTTATGGAATCATTTTTCCAACTAGAAGAATTTTTGTAAATAATATTGCATGAGCTTTACTAGCATTAAAAACATCAGGGATGTTTTTCCCCTGTGCCTAAGCTCTGCTCAGCACAGCAGTCTGGGAGGGGGAGCAGGGGTATGGGAGGAGATTATCAAGGAATTAGTTCCCTCTGACTCTGAGGGCTCATCTGTACAGAGGTGGATTCTGACATATATTTGTGGAGACACTGAAGTGCCCCAGCTCTGGTGACAGCAACTGTGGTGCCCATACAGCATGGGGACAGTGTTTGAGTGGGACACAATGGGGCTGGGTGCAGAACTAAGGGCCAGAACGCCCTTGAGGGGTAGCAGCTTCCAGGAGCTCCCACCAAACCTCTAGTTCTGCTGAGAACTGCTGCCTCACACAGCAAGATACAGGCATGTGGTGTCTTGATTGCTTGGGAGGAAGGGCCTACTGGGTTTGTACCAGGACATTTAACATCCATTTCAGGAAAGAAAAACACAGTCTTGAATGGTTACCTGGAAGGTTTGCACACACAGTATTTTTCAGTTAATGTAACTATTACCTAAGGGTTGTTGTATCATCCAAACAGAGGACTGTGATAGCAGGGAAAAAACTTTATCTTCTTCTCCATCATTCCCACTGTACTGCAGAAGTAGTAAGGGAGGGTGAAGGGTTAATCTGCTGGTCTTATGTCAACTAAGTGTTCCCTGCTCTCATGCTGGGAAAGTTTTCAGATAGCTCATTCTGCCCAGACTGTACTCAAGCATGGATTTCAGAATTGGACCCAAAGTCGATAACTACAGTCTACAATACAGCTTTTCTGGCACGGATAATATATGGCAATATAACCTTGAGATCACACTGGGTCACTTAGAGAAAAAAAGAATCCAAGACTAAAAGAGACCATGGGGATGAGAGGCAAATGGAGAGCACTATTGTAAACACATCATATTGGACCACACAAAATAAATTATAGAAAATGCTTTATGTAGGTAGCTTGAAGAAAAGGTTAAAATAATAATGTATCTGGAAAGGTCGGCTCAGAGATGCTTAATATTTTCAAGGGGAAACAAGGGTAATTTCTTCCTGAATGTTGAATTTCAGCTAGTCAAATAAATAAGACCTAGAGGTGCTTTGCAAAGGGTCTAAAGAAAAGGTGTCTCCCCATATCCCATCTCAGTATCAGCTGTAGGAAAAAACAAATGTCTATCACACTCTGGTCCAGTGAAATACAAACAGAGAATCCAGTATTTGGCTCTGGGCTTCTTACCTCCTAGATTAAGTTATTCTGTCAGAATTGGAATGAGGATTTGTCATTATCCTAAGGGGCTTGTTCTTCTCTTGCTGTGTTGCATACGGAGTCCACTGAGCTGAATGGGATCTAATAAGAAGGGAAAGATGACATTGCATTTAGGAAGAAAACTGAATGATTTCTGCACCTTTTTTGAGTGAAGACAGTCTCTGAAAGCTTGAGGCTATAGTCAGTGTCCTTACAAATTATCTTCAGAGGAGCCTGCCCCAATCTCTCACTTACAGCACTACCAGGTGGAAAAGATGGGATTCACAGATTGCAAAACCAGGTGATACCACCTATTTCAGCCTTCTGCATAAAGGAAGCAAGAGATGCATATCCAGTGAGCCTTCTGTTGGACTTAAAACCTGAAGCACCCATGTACCTCTTCTAGGCAGCACACCTGTATTGTGCATGCAATCCCTGCTCTATCACAGCTGGTCTTGTAGGGCCCATGGTCTTTCAGAGGATCAGAAGCATGTGAGAGCTTTTTTATTTCTAAAATATCAGCTATTTATACCATATTGACACACATTTCATATTTCATTTCCTTTGTGTAAATATGCCTGTGTGTAAATATGGGTGTTTAATAATATACCAATATGCACAAAATACGTGCACAAACATCATATGGGCACACAGAGGATGTTATATTAATGGGTTTAGCTCTGCTTACACACTGAAAGGTCACTCAGTGACATCTGCTGTTATACTAATATTTTCCAGAAGGAGTTCTAAAATCATTGTAGAGGAAAGGACCTACGGAATATTTTTATTCAAATATATTCATCATCAATATATACTAAAAACCCCCCAGTTGAATTAGGAGCTTCAGATATCCAAAGTATTTTGAATATTCTAGCAGCAGCTAATAAAAGGAAATTGGATTGTATTTTAGAAAGGTTTCTGTTTCTTTCTTGCATTCGCATGAAAACTGCCTTGCTCCAAAGGTAGGAAAGTCATTATTGATTTATTTTTCTTTTTTAACATTTATATATATGTATATATATGCACATGTACTCATAGAGACGGAGAAAAAGAGAAATCTGAAATATTTCTACCTTGTGTTAATACAAATAGTAAGGCTTCTCAGAAGGATCTACACACTGTAGGGTCCATTTATCTTTTCAAAATCCTAGAAATCTTAGATTCCCTTTGATGAGCAGGTAAATCCTTAAATAAATTATTGTTCAGAATAGTGCTGAAGTCTTATAGACATGCTTTACTTCTGCTTGAACTTGTCCCTGTAATCTAGATCCTCACATAAACAGCAAAATGAGAAGTGTACAAGTGACCATGGTCATTTTAGTATTTCTGCAGCAGGTCCATTGCATCAAACACTAGGAAGGAAATAATTGAATACAGTTGGAGCAACCAGCATGTCTTTTTCCTACCTCCCCACTTGTGGCCACAGAAAACAGTTGGTTTCTTGGTTTCTGAGGCTGTGTTACACTGCATGTGTGGTGTGTCTAAGCTCTTTCTTTTATTGTCCTCCCTCCCTCCTGGTTTTCAGGAGCTCTCCTTAGCTCCGAGATGTTTATCATCCTTATGCTCTACCTCTGGCTTGGGATTGGACTGGCCTGCGCCGGCTTCTGCTTCCACCAGATGCTGCTGATCCTGCGTGGGCAGACACGGTACCAGGTGCGGAAGGGAATGCTGGTAAGAGCCCGGCCCTGGAGGGAGAACCTGCAAGAAGTCTTTGGCAAGAAGTGGCTGCTTGGACTTTTCATCCCTGTGCAGAATATGGAGAGTAGCTACCGTAGGCAGAAAGAGAAATAAAATCCCCATGTGTGTGTGCATCCCACGCACACAACACCTTCCCTGTTCTCTTCCACCGTCTCCTGGATCACTACAGAGCTGGGCTACTCCATCTCTTGGGATTGCAGCTGCTGTGGGAGGAAAGGATGGGCTATCAAACAGACTAAATTGAGCATACTTACATGGAAATCACAAACCATGTAGATGATATACTGCAGCTTAGTAGTCACATCACTGCACCTGCATAGGTGGCAACAGTCTTTGAACTAGCAGAAAACTTAGTTAGACCCTCCTGTGGCTTCCTGGCTGAATCCCTCTGTCCCCAGCCCCATTAGTCACCCTATATAGTCTTAACAAACTGCATCAGGAGCCTGGGCTGTTGTGAAAGACTAAAAAATGGTGTCTTGTGTTTGGGAGGGTTTTGTGGAGTGGCTCTTTGGCACTTATATACATGAGGTATCTTCACATGAGAGCATATTTCCAGAGTTGTTTGGACAAGGATCTCAGGTACATGGTGTCATTCTTGGTATTGTCCTATTCAGGGCAAAGAGTTGGATTTCAGTGATCCTTGTGGGTCCCTTCCATCTCAAGATATGATTCTTGACTCACAATACTGACAAGCCCTTAATGACAGAACTGCAATGCAGTCAAGCTGTCCTAGGAACAGGCTATGAACATGGCTAATGCATCAGATAAACCTCTCCACAGGCTAGAATCAGGAGGAAAAGAAAAAGAAATCGAGAATTTCTCATTTCTGTGCTTGATCTGTTCCCCGTACAATGATAGGTCAAGACTGTAGCTCTGCTACTTATTTTTAGCAATCCTCTGTCCAATGATAGAGTCCAGGCAAAGCTGCCCTTCTGATAGGGAGCAGCAAGCACATAAATCATGGTCAGATGTAGGGACAAGGAGAGGAAACCACAAAGGTGAATGAAAATGCTGTGTTTGAGAAGCTGTGTGATGAGACAGGCTAGGCATACCTGTGAGAGATACAGAAGGAAGTGTGGCCACACGGCAAGCAGTTGGGAGGCTGCCAAGAGCATTGCTGCTGTGTCAGAGCCCTGGTGCATTACTCTCTCACAGGGAACACCTGCACCATGAGGGCTGTGAAGTGTTCAAAATTCCAGAAGACAGGGAGGTTTTCCAGCCCATCAGGGCACTTCATTTTGCACTAAAACAAACAGAAGGATGCTTTCTGTTATTTCTATGGTTTTCCCCCCCTCCACGCAGCCCCCCGAATGAATCCGACTAGCTCAGAGATATGGGGCTGTGAGGGGAGGAAATAGCATGAGAGGGAAAAGTATTCAGAAGAGGCTCCTGACCCAGGGTGTTGGAACAGCTCTCTTTATTCTGTGGTGTCCATGGAGAGTGGGGCAAAAGAGGAAGAGCAGGAAGTTTCAGGGGTCTATATAGGTTTTGGACAGGGTGGGCTCTCCTGGCTCCCCGCCAACCCCATTGGGGCAGGAGGGAGGATTCAGGGGTTATCTTGATCAGAGCCACAGAGGCCCTAGGAAAGGGGGGACAAAAGGGTGTCCAGGAGCTCACCGTAACAGCTTTCCTCAGACATCCCTGCCACACTTTAGTTACAGGCTCTCCAGGGCAATTCCCTCTCGCATTGCTGCAGAGCGGTAAAATTATCCATGTTTTAACTCCATTAAGGATGTTAATAGAATTGCTACAGGGATTAATCAATGTCATGTGTCTGTTGATTTTTAGCTGCAGCAGCAGCCCATTAGATCAGTGCTGAGATCCTGCTCTCACAGACTTCTTAACAAAGGATACTGTAACATCTCTGCCAGGATCATAGCACCCAATTCCCCAGCAGCTGCAATAAGAAGCCTCTGTTTTGGCAAACTGTATCAGCTTAAGTGGGCTGGGTAGGAATCCATTGCTTCTCTTTAATAGGCTGGGGACTATGCTGACAAGCCATGAAAAATGTTATTTCTTCTTCAGAAAGGCTCTTGGTGCATTCCTGATAGTGGAATGACCCTTACTTTTATCCTTGAGTTTCTCACAAACCAGAATGGAGTCACTCATTCCTACAGGCTTTGTAACTATCTTTGACCACTTTACACTTGAATACATGTTTGAATCCATAACGAAGTCTATTGTGATGAGCAGAGTAACCTTGAAAATATACTGGAAACACCCTTAGCTGGATAACTAAAACATGGAGGAATATACATCCTTCCACACTATGTGCGTTCGCATGAACACACAATTGTTTCTGTGGGTAATATGATGTATTTTCTCTAACAGTGAATAATAAAAGGTATTCTGATTTTTTACATGAGCTGTATTGTGCTTTTTGATAGTTAGCTGTCATTAGCTGTCTCTATACATTTGTTATAGCATACGCACGGATGTGTCAAAGGAAGAAATTAGGATTTGTTTATTGGCTTTGCCAATAATTCATCATGTGATTTTTGACAAGTCCTTTAATCTTTCCTACTTTAATGTAATGACCAATCTAAAAATGCATTTAATAACCAATTCGCAGACCCATTCTAATTTCAATTTATTAATTACACTACCAAATTCATACTTGTCAACTCAAAGCTAAGGGAAAATTAAGCTATTATCATCACCCACAAACAGCATCTTGACATAAATTTTTCCTTCCTGGCAAATGGTGTCAAGGTGAGCAGACAGTCACCTAGACACTAGAACCAGAGCCAGAGTCTCATGCCATACACTATTGGATTATTCTTGTTCCACAGACTCACTGATCCAACTTCTCCACTTTTGTACACTTAAAGACAATAGACTTTCAACATGAAGCCACCTCCCACCAGCAGAAATTATGGTTTGGCATCTTTGCCCTCTGCTTTTGGCTTTTGAGGGACACTGCAGTCTTGGGCAGCTTATGGCACTTGGCACCTGCTGCTGCAGTGCCTTGGGCTGTAAAACTCCTTAGGGCTGCACACTGAGAAGGGCAAAACAACTCAGAGTTTCAGTGGGCCACTCTGCAAGGACAGAATCCATCCAGTAAAACATTAGTTGCCTATGAATCCTGCTGCCTCTTCACATCAGGGCTGGATCATACCCAGCCCATGTCAGGGTTACAGCTGTGTGCCCTTACCACAAAATTTCAGTATTTGCAGAAGCACAGATAGATCCCAGTTTGAGTCACTCCAGCACAACTATTCTTCCCGTCAGACACCTCTGTTACTGGCTGGAAATTGCTGCATCACCATTTTATGCAGCTAAATGGTTAATTTGCAGCAAACTACTGGATTTCAGCAGTCATGGTGGGACTTCCAGATGGACACAGCCTTTACAGCTAAGATCCTCTGGGATGGAAAGAGCTGTAAAAATGTAACATTAGACTGACCCTGTATATTGGCTTATTTATCTGCTCATTCTGAAGTGTGCAAACTGCCCTGTTTAGGGTAGTGGCTCTGCAGGAGCAGTTAAGAGTATTTTTTTTAATTAGTCAGCTGCCCTGACATGCCTTCCTTGTCACACCTTTCTATACTTACAGAAATCCTTGGCAAGAAAATGTAACAGGGCTCAACAACTGTGAATAGAACCTTTGCTCTTAGCTATGAGTTAGTAAATGAAGGCTGAGCTCAATGGCAATGTTGCAAATTCTAAATCTGTTCAATGGCTCTAAAGTTTTCTAAGGATAAATAATAAAAGCTTCTCATCTTCTGTACTTAAAGAATCATTACTTACTATTTGCATTTCATTACATAGCAGCTGCAATAGCAAATATATTTTGGAATATGATTTCTTGTGACAATGTCTAAATACTTGCAAAGGTTTTAAAAATAAAGCACTTAGGCTTCTCTGACTTTGGAAAATCAGATGACCACCAGATTTCTTCTCTGATAATGCTAGAGGCTGAAGTAAAAGCTCCCTGTTGCTAAAGACCTTGCACAGAAACCACAGACATTTGCTTAGTGGCTTGTCTATTTTAAGTGTGACTATCTGAAAAAAATGGTGTCACCTCTAAAGTCTCAGAAGTTTTTGCAATGGGGATGCAACTCTGAAGTAAACCAGCAATCTGTTCTTATGTATAGTAAGGATCTCATAGAAAGTAAGTTGTGGACAGTGTTCCTGTCTATACTGCACTACTGGGCAGCCCTGAAGGCATGCAAGCCAAAAGGTCTTCATTAGATATCCTCAGAGGGAATGGAGTTAAAACGTAAAAGTAATAAGGCATAGGGAACATAAGAGAAAAGATGACATGAAATAGCATTTATCTTAGAAATAGCCAGCTCAAGGGAGATGATCACAATCTAAAAATACTTTCAAGGAGACAGACTGAATGAATGAGAATACTCATTAACTGTAAGGATATAGCTGGAGGAGGACAAGCAGTCCTGGACTGAAAAAAAAGCTGAGGTCGAAAGCAATCAGAGAAAGTGGCCCCAGTGAGAGCAGAAGGGATTTGATGTGTGTAGGGATGATGAGAGCCATCAGGCAGTATGAGGTATGACAACAATTTCAAGTTAATGTCATTGGTTGTTGTCTGAATGGACGCAAAGAAAGTTAAGAAAACTCATTGCTAATCACTTTCTGCTCAAAAATCAGCAAAGCCAAAAGGTTTTTCTTTCTTGAACGTCAAATTATGTTACAAGGAGGAGATGCATGGATAGGAACCATAATCAGCAACAGCAGAGTCCATATAGTTCTTTTTGAGTTATTTAAAGACTGGACAGAGCTATCATAGTTGGATAAAGCAATGACCTACTTGTGCAATACAAATGAAGGGAGAAGAAAATTTAAACCTATGTGGAGTCTATGTGTCCTGCTTGATACTTAAACCTATGGAAACATGCCAGACAACCAACAGCAAGATAGTTTTTTGATTTTCTAGCTCTTTTCTGGAAAGCCAGGGGAATAAAGAATCCTTGGAGATTAGACCAAAAGTAAGAAAACATGGACCAAAGAGTGCTTCAGTCCTCTTACAGAACCATCCTGGCAGCAGCCTTATCTTCATTACACCAAAGAGCTTTTAGCATTGTTCATCTCACTGAATCTAACTGGCAAGTGATGTCAGAGCTCCAGCATGCCAGTCCCATGTCTCTTAAGGTTCTTGGAGCCAGATATTCTA